TTGACCTTCTCTCACTAATATTTTGTGTGTTCTGAAAATCATACTTTCTGTCTTCAAATAATTTTACAAAGTTAAATAAAAATATTGAAAACTTGAAACAATTACTTTAACTATACACTTAAATTAATAGCAATGATTTGCATTAAATATCATATATTATCTAATGAATGACTGAATCTGCCTATACAAAATAAAGAAAATTACGACCTTAAATTCTCAACAAGTACATTCTTATGAATGATTTAATGAGTTCTCTATAAGGATCTAAAGACACATTTTTTAAACATATCGAATATACAGTGCAGTAGTGTTAAATGCAGTAAATATGGTATTTTGAGAATTTTTAAAATAATTTGATTCTACTTTCCGTCCTGTTTTCCCGATGTGCAGGATATTTTGGTTGCTTGCAACGGATGATACATTTTTCACTCTCCTTCCCCACAGTTCGAACAGCAGTGACATTAAAGTCACAATTGCCCAGTCGCCTTGCGATGTGCAGTCTGCAAACAGCACGTGCATCATCTGTGTCACAAATTCCCAGCCCAGCTCACAAATGGCAAAAGTTAAAGTGGGCATCGGAAATAATGGAATAGCCAAGCTGGTCAGTATTTATTTCAACCCTTTTTCTATGTTTGTTGACATAATTTGTTGTTATGTTTGTGGCTAGTAGATGAGTAGGACCTTCTGCACACTATGCATTAGGAAAGGTATTTTTCTAATTTGTCATGCGCAATAATGTTTTGAAACTGCTTTTTCTACAAAGGGAAATTGATTGAACTCCCATGTAAAGTAAAAAAATCTTTTTTTCAGCATTGAATAAACCTATTACTTGTTCCTTTGCAGCCTACGAATGCTGACGCAGCTCCCCACCTGAACTCCCATGTATACTAGTAATGCCTGACATACAGTAATATACGTATGTATTGATGGTACTATTACTAGTGATAGTACCATCAGTACTAGTGATAACTGTTGCTGAGATCCATTTATGGTTCTGTAAAGTTGTGTAAATTGCTATATTTTGTGCTGAAATTATATAGATAATTTTTATCTATTTTGTTGCCATTGGATGAAGTGTGTTAAACTGACTGTATGGGACCACAGGGTAAATCTTAATAATGCCTGTGTCGGTAGTTTCTGTCTGAGCCTGGAAATGTAAATTTGTTGCCAAAGAGTTGGTCTTTCTCATTGTACAACTGCAACACTCACAGCAGGCCTGGTTTCTTGAATCTGGTCAGTAGCTCAGCAACATTTATATCTACAGTAGGAGAATTAGATACTCATTAGTTGTTCCAAATTCTCACAGGCATCTACTGTACCAATGTTCTACTGCTTTAATCAGTAAAGGCACATTGGAGCTCTGTATATCTGGTTTGTGCCTGGGCTATGTTATTTGCTGACTTTGATGGATATTTCCCAAGTGACAGCACAGGTGACCCAAGTGTGTCAGGCAGGCTATCCTAGCTCTCTACGTGAATGCAGAGGCTTTTTGGATACCTGTTAGTTGCAATGTTGCCAGTGAGCAATCCTACAATTAGAGCTTACTCTCCTATAAGGATTGAGGTCCTCTGTGGAGCTGGGGGGTGTCTATGGCCCGACACTAGAGTTAGTTTAGAGTGGGCGCAGATCCTTCTTGTTCCTGTACTGATGTACAGGAAGTCAATGAATGGGTGATCAACAACTGGCGATTACCAACTCCGAGAAGATGAAATAGAAACAAAAATGATGATAACAAATTAAAGGGAAAAATAAGATTGGGCTAATATGGATTGCTGGAGGGCCAAATGTCCACCTGGCCTTCCAAATAAGCATAGGAAAGCAATTGAACATGAAATATATTTACCAAAGAAATAGAGGATTTCCACAACAGAATTTTTTATCGGCACTTTTTACTAGTTATGGCTTATTTTTTGCTTGACTGTAGGACAATGCAGATTTCTTTTACATTGATGTCTGGTCCTCCAAATACACGTGGGGAGGGCTCTCACCCCCCGAAGAAGGAACATTCGCTGTAATCACCAAAGGACAAACAATCCTGCTGGATACAAGCACGCCTGTACTAAAGATGCTCCTCATTCAAGGTAAACTTTCACAACCACTGCCTGTCAGTGTAGTACATTCCCATAGGTCCCAAAATATATCTAGTGGCTCTTCTCTGGTCTTATTCCAGAGCAGCTTAAGATGTTCTATAACATCTTAAGCAAAACTGTACACAATATTCAATCAAAATACAATACTGTACACGTTTCAGGTTACTATCTAGACATAAAAAGAAAGCAGTGTTCACTAGTGCTTGAAGATCTGTTATCTCCTAAAACACAACTGGTATTTAATTTACAATGTTGCTGAATTTACACCTACCAAAACTAAAAAGACTGGAATTCTTTTGTAAATCCTTTTGTTATCAAGGATTAACAGGTGACTCCTGTGGGTTAATGAGGACCAGGGAAACCAATAGTTTCCATTATATAACATAACAGAACATGAGCTATTTCTTTCTTATTTAGGTGGGATGTTGGTGTTTGATGAAGCTGATATTGAACTTCAAGCCGAAAATATTCTGATCACAGATGGGGGAGTTCTTCAGGTATCATAAATTACAGATTCCAAATATTCTCTTTATACTATGACAATGTAAGACTCCTGCTGTTGAAAATGTTGTTGCTCCCCAAAGTATGTGCATTCTTTATTGCATCACATGACCTTAGTATTGGCCATAAACCTCGTGTTTCCAAGTGCTTCATCCATATATCTTATAAAACACTACTGAAGTATGGATATATTTTAAAAACAACAAGACTAATATTTATAATGAATAGTTCCTTGCATTTAAATAGGACTTTTCATCCCAAAAAGATATCAAACAATGCATTAGTCACAGATTCGTCTTGGCTGCTTTCTACACATTTTTCTGTACCAACATGATTAACCTTAAGCCAACCTCTCCTGCGCTGTCAGATCGGCACTGAAGCGGCCCCATTCCAACACAAAGCCATCATCACGCTCCACGGACACCTGCGCTCACAGGAGCTGCCAGTATATGGCGCTAAAACGCTGGCAGTCAGAGAGGGAATCCTGGACCTCCATGGTAAACTCCAGCTCTCCACACCGAACTCGATACCACCTCCTGAACACACTGTTGCCCATTAGGAATCATATACAGTAACGTTTTAGAAATACACCAAGGTTTGAATATCATCATCAGTGTCTGTCTGAAGCAAGGTGGATCACCAATTTATAAAGTTGTATAAATATTTTTTGTTAAATATTTGCCATTCAATGAATATTAAAGGGTTTCACAGTTAAATAAGCCATTTTTCACAGTTTGTTTTAAGTTTGTGGTGCTAACAAACACCTCTTTTCCAGTAAGTGTGTTAAAACGTGTCTACACTTGTATTGTAAGACCTTAAAATCTGCAGTTTGAAGGTATGAACACTACAACAAGTCAGAGTCTTTTAAGGTAGGCCAACTCAAAAAAGTTAAGATGAAAAAGATTACGGACAACTTTGATCCTGTTTCTAGGAATTCCTGTTCCTGTTACTTGGACTCGGTTGGCACAGACAGCTCCTAGTGGCTCAGTCACATTGACTTTGCAGCACAATGTGACGTGGAAAGCAGGGGATGAAATTGTTATAGCATCAACTGGACACAGGTAAGATTTTGGTCTGAGATCCAGGACTAAACTTGAGCACCGACCCAACCAATAATCAGAAATCTTTCCAAAACCGGAAAGCAACATTTGTTTGCATGTGAGATGGATTTGGAATTGGAAAAAAATCTTGAAGTTTTGGGTCAGGCTTATGCGTGAGAAATCATGTCATTGAATCCTTAGTGCTTTAGTTTTTACTGTAGTCAGTCATGTGCTGTAAAGACCTGTAAATATTTCTCCATTTATTCCTGATTTCGTAGGCATAGCCAAATTGAAAATGAGGTCAAGAAAATCGCATCTGTATCTGCTGATGGAAGGACACTGACCCTGACAGAGCCCTTGAAGTACAGACATTTAGGGGTGTCGGTCACCCTGCCAGATGGAACAGTTTTTGAAGGGAGAGCAGAAGTTGGTCTTCTCACCAGAAACATTGTTGTCAGGGGTTCCAATAACATTGAATGGAATGACAAAATAGAGGCCTGTGAAGATGGATTTGACACAGGTAATGTCTGCTATTAGCATAACCTGTAATTCTGTGGATCTGCTAGGCAGTCATCCTAGCCTCAAAGTGTAGACAATATCTTTCTTCTGTAAAAAGACAAGGCGTTTCTCGAAATATTGCTGTGTACAGGTTATAAACCAATTATTTTTTATTTAACGCCACAATTCCCTTATTAAGTGGTATGGTGTATTCACTTGTCAGAATGAAGAAACCCATGACAGGCTATTACACTGCAATAGCTTTTTCATTTTCAGGTGTATATTGAACTTCTACTCTGAAGTCGAAATGGCTTTTAATTTCGATAGTATTCTGCATTTGCAGGCGAATTCGCTACCCAGACGTGTTTCCAGGGAAGATTTGGAGAAGAAGTAGGAAGTGATCAATTTGGTGGTTGCATTATGTTCCATGCACCTAGGCCAAGTGAAAACTTGGCAATTGGAAGGATTGAGTATGTTGAGGTAATTATTGCTTTTGAAGGATGGATGATGGCTCTAGATGTGGAAATGCAGTGCAATTTTAAAGATATTCTTTCATTTATTTAGGATACTATAGATAATTATAGAGGTAAAAATCATAATATTCTGAAATAGAGTCATAACTGAAGAGAAGCTTTTACAATGTAATTTCATGATAAAATATGATGTCTACTTTAAATGTTAACATCAGTTCTTTCTCTTTAGCCAGCATGTTTGTCTTATTTGTCCCCATGTAGGTATTCCATGCTGGACAGGCCTTCAGGCTTGGACGTTACCCAATACACTGGCACCTGATGGGAGACATGAAGTTCAAGTCCTATGTTAGAGGATGTGGAATTCACCAAACGTACAACAGGGCTGTCACCATTCACAACACACACAACCTGCTGGTGGAAAAAAATGTCATCTACGACATCATGGGAGGCGCCTTCTTCATTGAAGATGGGATCGAGACTGGCAACGTCCTCCAGTACAACCTCGCGGTCTTTGTCCGCCAGAGTACCAGTCTCCTGAATGACGATGTCACGCCAGCGGCATTCTGGGT